CTTACAAATCGACTAGAGTTATTGTTACGTATTGTTTTGGCATTTCCAAATGCTTCTAACAAAGGATTAGAATTTAAAACAATATCCTTAACATGTTGTACTTTATCAGAGCCTCCAGAAATACGAGCAATGTAGCTCATAATGTAGCGGGCTGCCACTGTCTTTCCAGCACCTGACTCTCCACTGAAACAAATTAAGATTTAAGTGTGTAAAATTACCTACACAGATCAACTCTAATAATTATGATTGAACAGACCTAATAATAACACATTGACTTTCAGCATCAATCAACAAATTACGAAACATTTGATCACTCAGACCAAAAACATGAGGAGGGTTTTCATACAATGCCTAATGGGTAAGAATATAGTAGTTATTAAAATACAAAAACAATATAGTGTAAATTTGCAAACATTCACTTTTAATGTCTTACAGCTCCTTGATATTGTTCTATTTCTTTATCCCCAAAATATTTCATTTGCTTGAATGGATTCACAGATATAAGCACAGGACCAATAGAAGTCTGGAAATGCATGTAAGGAACCACAAAAAAACAAAAAACAAATTTAAAACTAAGAGTTATAAGTAAAGAGAAACAGCAGACTGTAAAAGAGATGCAAAGGATACAAATATGTAGTCATCAAGAAATCTTTTCTTCAAATTGTCCACAATGGCATCTTCTGTCAACCTTGGTAAGAGTACCATATCATCAACACCACACAGCTTGACGCTGTGTGATTGCCAATGATAAACCTGTCCAGACATCAAAAAGGTTTAGAACATTCATCGTAAATCATGTATCTGGCATAAAGATTTTGAATGAGTGTACGAAATGAATGAATGAATAAAATGTAGAAAGAAACACAGTGACGTTTTGTTTGGTTTCAAAAGGGGATAAGATCAGTTGAGTGTATTACTAATGTGTTTTAAATTACTGAGTCAAGTTCACAGGGATGAGTCATACTATTGGAAAAGGAAGGAGAGTGTAATGTTGTATAGTAGCAAATAGGATTAATGAGTGAACAATTGAAATCTTCAAAGTAGATGAACTATTAACCCACAAAGAGTACAAACTCATTGAAATATCAGTTTTTTAACGAGGAGCAAAGCAAATAACAAGTATTGTTGGTGCAGGTGTTATCATAAGGGTGTCAATATAACCTGCTAGGCTCTGGCGACACCTTGCCTGTCACTCACCATGGCGGTTGTTTCTTGTCGTCACGTTCACGAGGAATATTTTTGCACCAACGGCTAGAAAAACGGCTGCATAATTGTGCTCAGAGCAACTCTCCGTGGTCAAAAACAAAGCAGAAAGTTAAGGGTCGGCTGCTACACATCGGCTGCCTTGCTGGGCTCCGTTTCAAAATGAGTGTGACAATCAGTGCAGCCAACCGCCCGCGGTCGGCGCGCTGTCAGATCGACGCCGGACAGAAGAACGCCACCAGGAGCTCTCCAGTGCCCCTGGAGCCACCCAGACTTGCGCTCCACGAAGAATGCAATTCGCATTCGAGAAGAGATAGACGGGCCTTGGGCTTAATCTGCCCTCAAGTGCCATTCACCCGAACAGCTGCACTGCTCAACACACACTCACGCACACTCACACACACACTGCAGGAAACAGGAAGGCAGACAGGAAAGGGGGGAGGGGAGGGCGAGGTGACTGGAGTAGTAGCGCTGGAGAGGGGGCACTTGGAGTGGCCCAAGGCTGGGTGACTCACCCGCTGGCCCCTCCCTCCTTTCTCTCCCCCCCTTCCCCCCGCTCTCTCCCTTATTGTCACAGTCACACGACTGCTCACCCGTGCAGCCGCGGGGAACGCCCATCCCTGCCCAGCCCGCCCGGCGCCGGCGCCGTGCCCACAACCCCCTCCCCCCCTCCGCCCTTTCGTTCTTTTTCCTTTCCAGACTTTTCAGATTTCAGTTGCTCTCAGCCCCCCCACGACGACGAGGGCCTGACCTTCAGGCTGACGCTTGGCTCTTTCTTGTGATCGATAGCCGGCCAGATAGGCACGTTTTGTCAGGTGATAACGCTATATCTCTGGACTTCCTGTTGGACGTGCGACGCGCGAAATGAAACAAGGGGCAAAAACTGCACCAAATTTCATCCGGTGTTAAAAATAATGGTTCTGTCATTTTACTTAGGCATACTTTTAAAACTGGTGGAGTTTTGCTAGGTATGCACCCAGAAAAACGTAGGGCTACCTTTTGATTGCACGTCAAAAATTGTTTCCGTTTGTTTCAAAGGAAATTTTGGCTTTGATGTAGACTAAAGCTGATTTCAGTTAATTTCAGGGAATTCCCTTGAGCGGAATTCGGCTGTATCAAAGTCCGCATTTCCTTTAGAACAACGGAAGCACTTTTTGACATAAAACGAGAAGTACGATTTTATGGGTGCGAGAACAGTGGATTCGCTCTGCTCCGTTTCTTTCCCGCACGGGTGTTAGCTTAGTTTTACTCATTTTATGGAGCTAGCGACAGGCTGGGGCGCGTGCCCGCTGGTGACGCACCCCTCTGTCAAGATAAACCATGGTTGTGAACAAGTAGTTTTTAGAGAGAGAGATTAAAGTCACTTTCCTCCGAGTTTTCTGATTTTCTGCATCACCCTGTAGGACTCTCTTTGCTCCAGTTCCCGCATAGAGAGAACCGCGGAGAGAACGCGGCTCCGACAGCGCGGGTCAGCGACCCGTGACCACCGGGAAGTTGCACTGTGCGGGCAAAAGACCATGGCAATGGCAAGACTGCGAAGGGGACTGCGAATAGAAGTTTGTCCATAACAAAACACAAGGAATTATTTTTTTTCAAAGAAATTCCATTGTTTTACAGTAAACAAAATGTCCTTCAAATGAATATTTTTCCTAGAAGTAATTTTTTCCTAGAAAACAATTCCTTTTATTCATTTCAGGCAAATTTTCTTGATTGAAGGTCAATTACATTAACGTAAGGCAATTTCGCCTTGTTTCAAGGAAACGATTTTCTGGGTCCGCTTGTGCCGGGTGGGCGTCCCGGGCTTCCTTGGTGACGATACCCCGCGAAACCGAGCGATACTCCTGGCGGGCGCCGCTACCCCGGCGCTCTCGCCGTATAGAAAATGAAAGATACGATCTGTGATCTCAGTGTAGTCGCTTAGGCGAGCATGATTTTGCGCCATGCCAAAATTTATCCGCTCTCCAAAAGTGGCTACAGGTTTTGCAACGAACATGTTGATTGAACAACTACAGGGTGGCCGCTCTGCCCCGTAGTTTTGAAAAGGTTGACTAGCCCGCTCACAGACGGAGCGGGGAAGTGGGAGAGGACTGGAGAGGTAGGTTCGGGCGGGCTAGTCTACCTTTTTAAAACTACGGGGCAGAGCGGCCACCCTGTATAATAACTTGTTTTGAGACTACAAAACAACTTCTTGTGCTAAAAACTTGACAAAAATTGTGTACGATGTTTTTAGTGTAACAAAAAGTGTGAATTGTATCATTAGCTGTGACGAAGCTGAGACTCGCCGTCGCTTCGTCGCATCACTATGGTGCAAGGTTGGCACTCTGTCCCTGTAGATTGAAAGGGCAAGACATAGAGTCTAATAACTGTAGCCTGTACTTCGATGGTTCATATTTATTAATCAATGGAGTTTACGTATTTACATCCTGCAGAAATCACACATACAGGCATACGTGAATCACATTATGTAATTATCATTATAAAAAAAATATCGGAGTGTAAACATTTGCATTCAAACGCCGTTAAAATTATTTAACAAGATAGTCGAACCCTCGAAGAGCCGTAGGCTGCTTCATCATGTTCCGCAATGAAGTCGGTAGGTAAGTCCGTTGAAACAATTACGAAAACCCATACAACATGGTAATATCGTTTCGGCAAGGATTCGACATCGTTTTGATGTATCGTTTCCGGTCACGCCAGCACTCCGGGAGGCCTCCAGACGACAGCGGGACGCTTGTCAAGAGTTTGGGGAAAAGGAAGAAAGGGGGAAGGGTATCTCAAAAAATAAATATTGAATGACAGAAAGAGAGGAGGGAACAGAGGGGAAAATGAGAA